CCCCATACACTTTTTTCTCAGCTTTCTGATGGTGCTATTAGTTTTATTCCGATTTATGTAGGGACTCAAAAGGCCTTTTTACTAACTTTTTGTTTACTACCGCATCAGTTATTAAAGAAATTGGGACTTATATTTATTTTACTAAATAGAATTTATTCAATAATGCAAATTTACATACATAGACTTAGATTTAAAGATTTTGAATCAAACTTACAATAATTCAGCTTAAATTAAAAAGTTCGTTTAAAGTAACACGGATAGGTAAAATAGCATTACACGCTGTTACACGTAAATACATTGTTTTATTTATAGAAGCTAAAAATGTATATCAATTGCATTTCAATATGACAATTTTTCATAACAGATATTTTAGCTGACATGTATTTTTGTTTGTTATACAGATTCGAAAAATGTGTCTAAAGAATAAAAAATCTGTCTCATAATTTATTATGTACTATGGTATTTCCAAGTTAAGAAACGTAGTTTTCTAATTTTCTGATTCATCCACTCATATTATCATTCTTTGCCTATAATTGTTTATATCTAATTAGTAATTATAATTAGTATACACACTCATGCTTTTGAGATTTTGACTAAAATGTTGGTTTTTTTTTAGCACCTACGCATACAATCAGTAGATACTTTTAAATTGATAAAAAGTTTACATGCACCATTAATTAAATAAAATGATTAATACAATAAACTAACATCCATGTTTCATGCATCAGTTAAGATTCAAACCATTTTGTGTACAAGGTAGCTTCGAAGGCGTCTCTATGACCACTATGTTCTGCTAGTCATCATCTCTTTTCGTGTATATTTACTGAATTTTCTAGAAGAGTTTTTCCTTGCATGGGTCCTCATATGCTTTTTAAGACTACTCGCGTGCCTAAATGGCTTTTTGCAGATGGTACAAAAACCGTAAGGTATACCTGTGTGAATACGCATGTGAATTTTAAGAGTACCTTTTTGCGCAAAAGATTTTGGACAATTTGCACACTTATAGGGTTTTTCCCCGGTATGGGTCCGCATGTGATCTGCGAGTGAACCAGAAGATCTAAAACCTTTTTGACACACCGAGCACTTGTAGGGTCGCTCCCCTGTGTGGGTCCTCATGTGTACTATAAGATTACTCGAGTACATAAATGGCTTTTGGCAGATGGTGCAGTGACTAAAAGGTATGCCAGTGTGGACGCGCACATGAATACTAAGACTGCTTTTTAGTCCGAAAGATTTTGGACAATTTGCGCACTTATAGGGTTTTTCCTCTTTGTGGGTCCACGTATGCTTTACAAGATCACTAGAAGTTGTAAAACTTTTTTGACATACTGAGCACTTATAGGGTTTCTCCCCTGTGTGAGTCCGTAAGTGCATTATGAGATTGGATTTTTGACTAAATGATTTAGAACAAGTTGAGCACTCGAAGGGTTTCTTTCCCGTGTGAGTCATCATGTGCCTTGTAAGGTTACCAGATAATGTAAAACCTTTTCCACACGTTGGGCACTTAAACGGTTTCTCTCCCGTGTGGGTTTGCATGTGCCTCTTGAGATTGCCATTTTGGCTAAAAGATTTTGGACAATCTGTACATCTATAGGGTTTTTCCTCTGTGTGAGTTCGCATGTGCTTTGTGAGGACACTGGAATATGTGAAATTTTTTTGACATACTGGGCAGTTTAAGGATTTATCTCCTGTGTGGGTTCGTCTGTGTAATATAAGATTCGTTTGTTTGCTAAATGTTTTGGAACAATAAGAGCACTTGAAGGGTTTCTCGCCAGTGTGGGTCCCCATGTGCGTTAAGAAATTAACTGAAGATTTATAACCTTTTTGACACACTGAGCATATATAGGGTTTCTCCCCCGTGTGGGTCCTCTTGTGCTTTGTCAGTTCACCAGAAGTTTTAAAACCTTTTTGACATACTATGCACACTATTAAAACCCATTCAATTTTCTGGAAAAATTTGATGAAATACTTACATGTTGTCGTACTACGAGTTTGCGCGTTACTGAGAAGAGTCGTCGAAGAATTGTAAATAAGAACTTGGATCACATAAAAAAATTTGTTCATTTTTTTACTTAGAGCTATAGTCTGCAACTAATAGTTATTTTTTTTTATCACAGCTTTTTTTCGAAAAATTAGAAGACCACTGTAGATGTGCTCACATTGTCGTCAGGCGAGACGGTAGGTTTATGATGCATGAAAAAAATTATAGTATAAATCAAAAAAATTTTCCTAACCTTTCGAAAATATTTACTCTAGTAGTAAATAGTCTCTTGAAATACAATTTTAATTTCTTATATTACAAAAATAATTAATTTAAACAGAAAAATATCGTTTTCATAAAATTCAATTTTTTCCTCATTTCTGAAGGGCGTTTAAACTTTTCCATGTATTGAATAGTTTTACGATAAAAAATAATTTTGCTTTGTTCTCTGTGTACTGATAAAAATTTTACGCCACATCTAGCCCCAAAACTGATTATTGTAATCGCCCGCTACGTGGAAAGTACTGGCCCAAGTGAGGTGTAAAATGCATAAAATTCATATACTAGAAATATCAATGACATGTTTTTTTGACAGAGTGCGAAAATCGTCTCGTCTTTATACATCTTTTATCTCCTTCCCTAAAAGATACGATATGACATGAACTTACTACAAACTTGTCAACATGTACTAAGACCATTTACTCAACTAACGATTTTCTGACGACCTAATGTAGTAATTTTCTCTCACGGTTCTCGTGAATACACTCGATCTCGACCTTGTCGTTTGTTAAGATGACTTTGACACTTGGTGCCACACCATGCAAGGGGTCCTTTGAGGTACTACGGATTATAAAAATATTATTTGTTTATTGTCATGATTATTGAATTTATAAATTAAATATTGATATTTATGCTTTACAAGATCACTAGAAGTTGTAAAACTTTTTTGACATACTGAGCACTTATAGGGTTTCTCCCCTGTGTGAGTCCGTAAGTGCATTATGAGATTGGATTTTTGACTAAATGTTTTTCCACACGTTGGGCACTTAAACGGTTTCTCTCCCGTGTGGGTTTGCATGTGCCTCTTGAGATTGCCATTTTGGCTAAAAGATTTTGGACAATCTGNGATAAAAAATGACATGTGCCTCCTCTTCGCAAAAAATAATAGTGACAGTCTTTTTTATCCTCACTTCTTCGATGTGGATGGCTTGAAATGATGTTTTACAATAAAAATTGTATTATCCTTAGATTTTGTACTTATGAATTTTTTTTAAAGACGATTGTTTACAATTTACAAAAAAATGGACTTGGATTGCAAATTGGTTCCACCACATCACTTCTATATCGATTTATGTACAGACTCAAAAGGCCTTTTGACTAACTTTTTGTTTACTACCGCATCAGTTATTACAGAAATTGGGACTTGGCGAATAAACGTGTAAATATATTTATTTTTTTAAATAGCGTTTATTCAATGATGGAAATTTACATGTATGGACTTAGACTTAAAGATTTTGAATCAAACATACAATAATTCAGCTTAAATTAAAAGGTTCGTTTAAGGTAACACGTACAGGTAAAATAGCATTACACGCTGTTACACGTACATATATTATTTTTGTATTGAATCTAAACTTGTAAGTATTGTTGTTTATTATACACATTCGAAAATTGTTTATGTAGAATAAAGAATCTGTTTTACAATTAACTCTGTCCTATAATGTTTTCAATTTAAGAAACGTAGCTTTCTAATTTTCTGATTCATCCATTCATATTATCATTTTTTCTCCATGATTTTTGATATCTAATAAACAATTACAATTAGTGTACGAATTTATGGTGCTTTTTTTTTAGCATCTACTCACATTTATAAACATCAATTTTTTTTTAACTTACCACAATACCTGCAAAAACTACTTTTCAGTCTACATGTTAGTTTTAAATAGATTATCAAAAACAATTTTTTTTGAAAAACTTAATATTTCTGAAAAGTTCGTCGATAAGAAATCATGAGACATTGTTAAACTAAAACATATTACATGCATCATTGATTGAATAAAATAATTGATACAATGAAATACATCCATGCTTCATGTATATTGTAAGAGCAAAACCATTTTGTGTACAGATTTTTTAAGGAATTAGAGTATTTCCCGTGTAAATCAAATATGTCTGAATGAATTGTAACTCTTTAACGCCAAAAAAAGGTTTTCCTATCTCAAGGCGTCTTCCAACTCCTCGCACACTAGCGCCATCCAACCGAGGCTGTTATAAGTATATGGTTTTCGAGCCGCAAAATAGCTTCGATGGCGATGGTACTTCTGTGACCACAATACTTTTTTAACGTCAATTAATTTTTTCTATTTTCTTTTTCACAAATGATTATTTTTGTACAATTATTTATTCTCTATTAAAATTTAGATTTTTGTAACTACCTTCAATACGTAGCTTTTTACTTTTATAAAATTGTACTTCAATTTGATCTCATTTAACTACGATTATTAATGTATGCTTTCATTTATAAAATTGTATAATCTACTTAGTTATGGCTACTTTGGGCCCTAAGTCTATAGCCACTTATAAAGAAATCTAATCTAATCTAATCTATATTCTTATGATCATCATCTGTTTTCGTGCATTTTTACTGGATTTTCTTGAAGAATTTTTTCCTTTAATGGGTCCCCATATGCTTTTTAAGACTATTCGCGTGCATAAATGGCTTTTGGCAGATGGTGCAGTGACTAAAAGGTATGCCAGTGTGGACGCGCACATGAATACTAAGACTGCTTTTTAGTCCGAAAGATTTTGGACAATTTGCGCACTTATAGGGTTTTTCCTCTTTGTGGGTCCACGTATGCTTTACAAGATCACTAGAAGTTGTAAAACTTTTTTGACATACTGAGCACTTATAGGGTTTCTCCCCTGTGTGAGTCCGTAAGTGCATTATGAGATTGGATTTTTGACTAAATGATTTAGAACAAGTTGAGCACTCGAAGGGTTTCTTTCCCGTGTGAGTCATCATGTGCCTTGTAAGGTTACCAGATAATGTAAAACCTTTTCCACACGTTGGGCACTTAAACGGTTTCTCTCCCGTGTGGGTTTGCATGTGCCTCTTGAGATTGCCATTTTGGCTAAAAGATTTTGGACAATCTGTACATCTATAGGGTTTTTCCTCTGTGTAAGTTCGCATGTGATCTGCGAGTGAACCAGAAGATCTAAAACCTTTTTGACACACCGAGCACTTGTAGGGTCGCTCCCCCGTGTGGGTCCTCATGTGTACTATAAGATTACTCGAGTACATAAATGGCTTTTGGCAGATGGTGAAGTGACTTAAAGGTATGCCAGTGTGGACACGCATGTGAGCCCTGAGGGTACTTTTTAGTCCGAAAGATTTTGGACAATTTGCGCACTTATAGGGTTTTTCCTCTTTGTGGGTCCACGTATGCTTTACAAGATTACTAGAAGTTGTAAAACCTTTTTGACATACTGAGCACTTATAGGGTTTCTCCCCTGTGTGAGTCCGTAAGTGCATTATGAGATTGGATTTTTGACTAAATGTTTTAGAACAAGTTGAGCACTCGAAGGGTTTCTTTCCCGTGTGAGTCATCATGTGCTTTGTAAGGTTACCAGATAATGTAAAACCTTTTCCACACGTTGGGCACTTAAACGGTTTCTCCCCCAAGTGGGTTCGGATGTGCCTCGTCAGAGTGCTTTTTAGGCTGAAAGATTTTGAACAATCTGTGCACTGAAAAGGTTTCTCTCCTGTGTGAATCCGCATGTGCTTTATGAAGACACTTGAATATGCAAAATCTTTTTGACATACTGGGCAGTTTAAGGATTTATCCCCTGTGTGGGTCCGTCTATGTAGTGCGAGATTCGTTTGTTTGCTAAATGTTTTGGAACAATAAGAGCACTTGAAGGGTTTCTCGCCAGTGTGGGTCCCCATGTGCGTTAAGAAATTAACTGAAGATTTATAACTTTTTTGACACACTGAGCACTTGAAAGGTATCTCCCCCGTGTGGGTCCTCTTGTGCTTTGTCAGTTCACCAGAAGTTTTAAAACCTTTTTGACATACTATGCACTCAAATAGTGTCTCCTGTGTGTGAGCAGTTCGTATGTGTTTTATGATTGTATCTCTGTACCCAAATGTTTTAGAACAATCTGAGCACTTGAAGGGTTTTGTCCCTGTGTGAGTTTGTTTGTGTCTTATAAGGGACATTTTTTGACTAAACTTTTGTAAACAAATTGAACACTCGAAGGGTTTCTCGCCCGTGTGAATAAGTTGGTGCGCTTTAAAATGTGTAAGATTGGCAGATAATTTACCGCAGATCTCGCAAAGTCTCGTACAAGTGTTTTTCAGTGCCGATCTCATGGTTGGATTTCCGTTAATAATGGCCCCTGAACAGTTGAAAAATAGTTGGACTTCGATGTGTGACAAACACGAAGAAAAAATTTTTATAATCTTATTGGTAGCTTCGTTGTCTCTGGTTCGTTTACTACAGTAACTGTCGTTTATTGTTAAGGAACTGGATACGTTGCTTTTTTGTCTATAAATAGAACAGAAAAATCAATTATTTGAACCGAAAGTATAACAACGAATTTATACGTTCATATATTTTTAATTTTTGCTGTTAGATGTATTGGATGGCGTACTATTTTCTTGTTCTTACTACTTATGTAGAATAGCGAAAAACTTAATTTCATGTGTAATGCATATAATTACGTTCTAATGGAAATGCCCAAGGGGATCTTTATCAGTTCATATAAGTAAATGCAAAGTCCTTCTGTTTTATCAATTACAAAAGATTAAATGTTCAACGATTAGTTCTACAATATCAGTAAAAGCAAAACTTATCGTAACTCCATAGTATAAAATGTAAAATGTAAAAAGAAAGAAATGGCGATATAGAAAATCCACGTGTTACATTATATATTCAAAGTATTTGTTGCACTCCGAGGTATTAATTGTGTTTTGTACAATTACAGCAGGTTATTTTAATTTAAAATGAAAACTTACTGTTTCTGTGTCTAGATTTCAAACCGACAATTGCTAAATATTTAGTGCCTTGTCCAAGTACACGTTACATCCAGTTATGTAGTTCTATCTAATCTTATCTTTAATATTATAGGTCTTGCCTTGCATCTTGATGAATTTATGAATTTATTTTAACTTATTAGTTCGGAAACTTGTAAAAAAATAGGCTTTGTACTATTATATTGTGTACCACTGCAAAGAGGAATATCGTCACAATGTATTCAAATTTTTCGTATCGTGGATAAATGAAAAACGTCAACGTATACAAGTTAAGGCTCAAATGCTACTGATACTACAATATATGACGTTATTTCTGTATCCATCCACAGTAAGCTAAAAAATGTTAATTGTATAATAATGACCCTAAGCCGTATGTATAGTTGGAAAGTTTTGAAGTGGTGCGTCGTGGCAACTTTGGCCTGACAAAAGCCGTTATGCATCGTATTATTGAAAAAAAAAAAAAAAATGTTTATAGTATTAAAACTATTCTAAACTTGAATCTCAAAGTATACGATGAGACAAGTTTTTAACGTAAATCCACAAGAAAAGCTCTTAAAAAATAATCGGTAAAAAAATTACACTTCACAGTCCAAAGCATAGTAGGAAATCTATAACAAATATTCCGTTTTTGAAATCAATATTGCAACTGGACTTATTTTAATTGGAATGTCATGTGCTATGTGAGAAAAATCATCAACACAACATAAATAGTGTGTAAATCGCAGAAAAACGGTGTTACCTCCACTAAAACCCATGTTTTCATGATTTAATTCCTCACAGTACATGAGATTGTGATATAAAAGAGTCTGATTTTAAGGTAGTGCCTCAAAAAAAAAAATTGTATTCGGGGACAACCATGGCATATTTTTGTCGATTTTTTTCATATACACGAGTTTACATGCCACTCGAAAGAGTCCTCACAACGTTTCATGCGGAACCTTTGATCACATATTCCATTAAAAAAAATTTATTCATCTTTTTACAAAAAGTCTTTGTCTGAAACGATTTTTTTTTATTTTTTTTTTTTTTTATAACAGCATCTGTTTGAAACATTAGAAGACTCCTTTTGACGTGCTCACATTATTGTCATCAAGTCAAATATACATATATGAGAGATTGAAGAAAAATGTCTTATTTCAAGAGAATATAATATTTACTTGGCACTATTCTAGTAAATATTTTGTATAGGTTCTAATAAATTTTTTCTCTCAGAGTAATGATTATTATAAAATTACTAAAAAAAGGGGGGAGATAAAAATGGTCGGAGACAATAGTCAAAATTATCGTAACTAGCGTGGTATTTCAACTTTGTCATGTATAGTATCGTAGTTAAAATTACTACTGCTTTTTCTTTCGTGAAATGATTAAAATTTTACTTCTTACTTATTAACTCTATTGTTCTACGCAAACTCTATCATGGGTATTTTAATTTTCAAAAAATTGATGTACGTATTAAAAAATCACTTTTATCAAGACTCGTCGATGAAATCGATGAGAATTCAGAAAATTTTATACGCATCACGCATTTTTAATTTTGTCAATACGTATACGATTATACTGCGTACCTGTGATATTTCTTTGATATACCTGTAAAGTGATATTTAATTAATGGTTTTATCATTTACCTCCACTAATGAGAAAAAAAAAGAGAAAAAAAATCTACCCAAAGGGTTTCACTGACGTTTTGCAACATGAAAATCATCCAGGACTTGTAAGCTATGGGACACACATATGTATCCAAACACTCGTTACACGTACACTTGCACACTGAGCCAATAGGCTGATTCAGCAGCCGCTGCAAATTGATAGGTATAGCATACTGACGCGGACGGATTACACACTTACGCAATATTTAATGTTCCAACGGCGCGTCTAGTTTTAGTATCTTGAAATGTTTTCCTTTCGACTGCAAAAAAATACATATTCGTCCTTCTTCTTCCTTTTCATCGAATCCTCCAGCGCGTGAGCGCGTCCCTTTTGGACGTTTCAATAGATCAGCGTAAGTAGAGTATCGATGATAACCTGATTTTCCTTCAACTGGACTCCTTTTGAATCGAATGTTCCACCAAAAAGGAAAATCATAAAAATGAAATGAAAGGATCGAAGAGCCAAAAAATTTTTTTGTAAAATGCTGAGCTCGCTACTGCTGTCGTGGGCCTAACATTTTTATTTTTTTATTTTCCATCGATGTGCTTTGGAATACCTTTGTGAAATACAAGTACATGAGCAAAAAAAAAAAGAAAGAAAGAAAAAAACAACAACGGGGGCGAAAAAAATGCGAGTGTTGAGCTCTTTTTTCAACTTTATCTCTCACCGTTCAGGCTTCCTGGGAACTTTATATACGAGGTTATAATATACGTGTGTACAACGAAGGAATGACCTATATTTACACTTGACTTTTAATTCGGCTGAGAACGACGCGACAAATAGACTTTTGCTTCGTAGAAAAAAAATTTACGTTTTCATTAAACAAATAAATAAATAATTTATAATTAAATCAACCGTTTAGCAACTACATTTAACTTTAGCTCTATGGAATCTGCATAGTTTTAAATCACCAAAAGATAAAATTTCTTTAATCAATAAAATACTACCAAGTGAGCATATATTCTCTTGTAACATGATAATATTTTTTACACGAAGAACTTTTTTTTTTTAATTAGTATTTTGTTGATGTAAGAAAATAAAATCTGATTTCGAGATAAATTGTTTGGTAGGAACTATTCTAGTAAATATTTTCTTGATTCTAAGAATTTTCTTCCAGTCAACATTTTTCTCGTACAAGTGTTTTTCAGTGCCGATCTCATGGTTGGATTTCCGTTAATAATGGCCCCTGAACAGTTGATAAATAGTTGGACTTCGATGTGTGACAAACACGAAGAAAAAATTTTTATAATCTTATTGGTAGCTTCGTTGTCTCTGGTTCGTTTACTACAGTAACTGTCGTTTATTGTTAAGGAACTGGATACGTTGCTTTTTTGTCTANTCTGATTTCGAGATAAATTGTTTGGTAGGAACTATTCTAGTAAATATTTTCTTGATTCTAAGAATTTTCTTCCAGTCAACATTTTTCTCCAAAAATATCCTCACCCCCTTTTAAGTGACAAATCTGTGATACCAATCCTTTTATATGTTGATAGTTTTTAGTAAAATTGTTGATAAATTCCATTGTTATTGATCCTACTATTACGTATTATGTAAAAAAAACACACAGACACATACACACTTGAATTCACAGTGAATGCATTATGTGCCATTTATTTATTTTTTTTCCTTCTCTTTTCCGATTGTTCGCCTAAACGAAATTAATTTTATTTTACCCGCCAGGCTCAGCATTTCGCGCTCAAAAGTGACCAACACACTCACGCACACTCGCTCACACGTGGGCACTGTATAACGAAAAATTAAATTCCCTCTCCTGCAGCGTCAGCACTTGAGTATATATATATGTGTACGAATATATACACACACTGAATAATCGTCATTGTCTGCCGTACAATAGCTTTATAATTGAGAAATCTCTTTCTCTCTCTCTCTCTCTCGCGTAGTTATTATTATCGCTTCCCACGCTATATTCCTGTCGCTGTACCATTATCAAGCTGCTCTCGCGCCGTTGTTATGACGATGGCATGTAAAATATATACAGTATAGCGACGATACGACGTCATTCAGGTGCTAATCTAATAATCCGCGAATTCATTGTGATTTTCGTTTCTTCACGTGAGTGATGAATTATCGTGCGCCTGCATTACTCAGTGTACATATATCTTTGATGGATACTCGGTATAAAATATTGAATGGTTTCCCGGAAAATTGAAAAAAATAAATAATTTTATTGTCTCTTGAATTTAATTAGTTGAATGTTACTGTTTCGTAGCAAATAGTTATAACCCAAAATGAAATTAATTCGCTTTATGTAGCAAAGTTGAATTTAAAAAAAATGGTAAATTTGACCAAAATAGTTGTCTTATGGCTATCATTTAAAGATGTGCTGGAAATGTTTTTAAAGTACGTTAAAAAGTCCAAAAAATATTTTTTGTAATCATCAAAACCATTTGACAATTTTAAAACTTATTTTAAAGATGAAATGATTGAATTCCAATTTTGAAAAATATCCTCTTACACATCTTTTGTGTGTAAATTACGCACTTTTGAGCACTTTATTCATCTTTTTACAAAAAGTCTTTGTCTGAAACGATTTTTTTTTATTTTTTTTTTTTTTTTATAACAGCATCTGTTTGAAACATTAGAAGACTCCTTTTGACGTGCTCACATTATTGTCATCAAGTCAAATATACATATATGAGAGATTGAAGAAAAATGTCTTATTTCAAGAGAATATAATATTTACTTGGCACTATTCTAGTAAATATTTTGTATAGGTTCTAATAAATTTTTTCTCTCAGAGTAATGATTATTATAAAATTACTAAAAAAAGGGGGGAGATAAAAA